TGGCTATGAAAGAAACATATAAATTTCTTTCATTATTTTTGACGCCAGAATTTTAAATCTCCTCCTTATTTGCTGTTAGTTGGATAATCACCAAATAGAATTATTATCCTTTTGAGTTATATGTATTCTGCTATGGTCTTCGCCTGTTTACCTCTGAAGAGAAACATAAACTTGTATAGGATTTAATAAGAAACGCGGATTCAGTAGGAGGAACATCTTGGCAATTTTAAGCAAGCGATCTTGTATTTCTTTGATATAGTCCGAATGTATCATATCCAGCATAGTTGTTTTCTCAGTGGCCAATTCCACGTCCGAACTTTAAACTATACAAATTGAACATGTTAAACTTGAACATGTAAAGCTTAAATATTCGAGCTTTCATTCCTTTTTCTAAAGGAGAACTTGCATCAAGGCCCCAAATACAAGATGTTGATGTGACCCAGCCTCTCCTACTTTGGCCCATGTCTAATAGCCCTTAAAAATCCTAATATATGTGACCCAACCCCTCTAGTCCAACCCATACCCGTGTCCTACCCTAAATCACGAAAATGCATCTTTTCTCTCTCCCGAGACGCGAATTCCAGATTTGGCAAGGGTAATGGGGCGCTCGGCTGTGATCATACTAGGGGATGGGCCCATAGTATTAAGGGGAAGCCCCACATGGTTGAAATTGAAGTAGGGAAGACTCGCACTATGGCCGCTAGCGGTTAAACCGAATGCGCTGACTAAGGTTCCCTCGTCACAAAAAAAGCCCTAGTTCAACTATGAAGTAAAAATGCATGCTCACAAGTGTTTTGCTTTTCATTTTGGTTTATGTTCTTTCAGAAGTTCAATCAATCTTATATTTTATTATTCAAAGAGAAAAAAAAAACAAAAAATTTCGTCTTTGAAAGGGAAAGTATAATTATAGTTTTATATATAGCGTTTCCTTCGTTAACGACAAGGACGTTGTAGTACAGTGGTGAGTATTACCCCCTGTCACGCCGGCAACACTTTTTATAGTTATAATTAAAAAAAAACGCCCCCAATTAATATTGAAAGTTTACTCTTTTGTCAACTTCCTCTGCAAAGATTTTCTCAACATTTTTTGTTGTCAATTTTTTTTTAAATAAAAATCCCCCCTGAAAAATCACCAAACCAAAACAATTGAAATTGAAAGTTCTCTCTTTTATCAAATTCCTCTGCAAAGATCTGATGGGGCCTTCTCTTTGGGCTTCTTTTCCCCCACCAACTCAACAAACAACCGGTACATCGGCATATGGTACACAAGAATCCCAGTCCAGACAGTCATATGGGTTGGGAACCGTAAAAATCGGGTCTCAGATCCTATGGCAGCCCTAATGTTAACATCCAATGGAAGTCTCCTCGTAACTGATGGCAGTTCTAAAGTCTTCTTGTCCTCGCTGTCGATGATGGCTGTTGGAAAACCTGTGGCGCAACTCTTGGACACTGGCAATTTTGTTATCAGGGATTCTCAGATAACCGATTCCAATAGTTTTGCATGGCAGAGTTTCGATCATCCGACCGATACTCTTATACCAGGCATGAAGCTAGGTTGGAACCTAACAAGTGGACTCAACCGTAACCTGACAGCATGGTCTAGCTCAACCGATCCATCCCCTGGTAACTACACCCTAGCTTTGGACCTCCGCGGTGATCCCCAATTAATACTTTGGAATGGCCATATTCTGCAAGGGCGGTACGGTCCCTGGACTGGCCTCCATTTCAGCTGGCTCAGCAGTCAGGTAGACCCAAATAATAAAGATGCTCTTGTCTACCTTTTTGTTAATAACAAGGAAGAGGTTTACTACAGTGCAGGCGTGGTTAACAAGTCCATTATCACTAGGCTTGTTGTGAACGCACTCGGGGTCGCAGAACGGTATTTCTGGCGTGATAAGTCTTGGGGCCAAGTCTGGTACATCCCAAGCGGCCAATGTGATCGGTATGCTCCTTGTGGCCCATATGGTTCGTGTGTTCCAAATGGTTATGCAAATGGTTCTCCAAATTGCAGTTGCTTGCAAGGGTTTGAGCCTAAATCACCGGCAAATAGGGATTCAGGATATATTTCTGCTGGGTGTGTCAGGAAGACCAAACTGGATTGTAGGACTGATGGATTTAAGACTGTTCCCCGAACGCTTTTGCCAGACACAGTGAGCGCGACTGTAAACAGGACAATGAGCCTGGATGAATGCCAAGCTGCCTGTTTGAGGAATTGTTCTTGCACTGGTTTTTCTAGTGCTGACATACGCGGGAGTGGAAGTGGGTGCATTATTTGGTCCATGGACCTAAT